CTTGCCCTCCACTTTTCGAATTAGCTGCAGCTGCTTCTCTCAGCGATATTTCTTGAGAAGAAATCTTACCTATGGAAAATTTTCTTTACAAATTACGAACTGATTACGGGTATAAAGCTGCTTGAGGGTATCATTTTTGTTTGCTAATTTATAAAAGTCGGAGTCTTCTATTCTACCAACAACTGCCAACACATTTCGGGCATCTGTACGGCCACGGTCAACATCAGGGACTTGTATTCGTACGGTATCACCAATTTGAGCAGAAGGAAACGGCGAAGAATTTGGCGATATCGCCTCTCCGTCGACATCGGCTTCTCAGGTGTCGTTTCGACCTCCACCAAAGCTTATCTGTGCTTGTCGACATACACCGGCGATTGTTCGAATGTATAATAATATAACAAAATATTCGGTCTTTCACCGACGTATTTTGTATGTGTCGACATTCACCGGAGAATATCGACATTCTCTAATTTCGGTCTTTCACAGTAACATATATATATTAAGTTTAGTATCATAAGTTTTAGTATCATTTCCCTTCTCCCCCACCAGTTTACACCTCCACCATCTTCTATCCTCAAAGGTAGATCCTCAAAGTGCAAATAAAACTAATTTTTTTAAATCAATTATTATTCTATTATGGTTATTTATACATTTACAACTACAAAATGCATTTTTCAGTGTTTTCCTTACTAGTTATTTTTTTTAATGTAGACTACTACTTAGTTAGCTTTAATTTGAGTGTGTTTTTCGTGTTGGAACGAATTATTTGGTTTTACATGTAATCGTATGGGGAAAAATGATNTATTATTTTTTAAATATAATTATGATGTAGTCAGTATAATCTATTAAATTTTCTCTGAAATTAAAATTGACTAAAATAAACTTACTTCAAATTTTAAAATATTTTGTAATTAAAACTTCAAAGAGAATTTTGAAATGACTAATTTTTAGATTTGTCAGCCCCATAATGTTTTTTGCAATCACTTATAGGACTTACAAGTTGGTGCAAAAGTACATACAAATCTCATTCTCAACTAAGTATTTGAAATCTCTCATTTACATATTCTCATATTTTGTAACCATAAATTTTAGTTTATTCCTTCTAACCTCATGATGGATATGGAGATAGTTAAATTTATTCAATGTTTTTCAATTTACTTGTACTGAATTGAAAAAATTTAACTTTTTCATTAAGAATGGTAATTAGAAATAATTTCACAATTGAAGAATGTAATTGATTGATATGGATTTGGAGTTTGTTAAATCTGAAAGCAAAATTGTATTTAGCACATTGGTGTAATGAAATTTTGGTTTGGTATATTTTCATGATGGGACTCGTCTCTTACCACCCTCATCTCTATTATGAGCCAGAGTGAACTGATAGTGAACATGTAAAAAAAGGCTGCCTACAAAATGAAAAGAGTGAAAAGCCAAAGAAAAAAATAAGTCTAAAGATATTGTTACAAAAATGGCCAAAACCTTATTTTCTTTTTAATATACAGTAAATTGTTTACTGTTTTCAAAACTGATTTTGTATTTGAGAGAGGGGAGAAATACCACGAAAACTGAATTATACTGTATATAGGGTAACTACCATATTTCGCCCATGTACCCGGTACCTAATATCGTCTAGAGCCGTTCAGGCCAAACCATTAGCATAAAGTGCAAACTCCAGTCGGGGAGAGGTAGGACAAGGATTATACGTTCGGTTGTGATGGGTACCGTCGGTGTCGTAACAACAACAAAGATAGTGACGATACATTTTGTAAAATCGCATCGTAATCAAACAGCAAAAACACATTTCATCATATCGTCGATCCTAAGCTGATAGTATGATGTGGAAGAGGATAAAACGCAGCATCCGATGATGTATTACAATAACATACAGTATTCACAACTAAATAGACAATATTGAGCATCAAAGAAAACGTGACAGTCGTTCCGAATTCTACTCGTTATGCATTCTCTAATATCGCGTATGGGCGAACTTGCGAATGTACTATTGTGGTGCAGGCTCAGCCTAAACCAGGGTGGCCAACAGTTTTTGCCCTCGGGCCGAATTGGAAAGAGAACTTTTTCACGGTCCGAACCAGAAGCTGCCCTAGGAAGATTTTGAGGTGGTGCGAGATCTCATTGTGGTGTCACCCCGTAGAGACTAAATTGTACATAGAGATTACACATACATTTTTTACATTATCATGCTTTATCAACGTTCTATGCTGTACTTAAGAGATTTGTAATGGTGGAGGGTTAACTCTAACCGGACAGCGAGTTGTTGACCTTTTTTTTTATTAGGCGTTAGAATTTTTCACCGATCTATTCTGACTTGAGTAGCTAATATTGAAAGATTAATCGCGGGCCGTATGTTGGCCAAGCCTGGCCTAAACCATTAAGGCCTTCCCGAACGGCTGCAGAACAAAAGAAAACGACAAATCCGAGGCTGAAACAGAAAAGGAGATAGGTACACAACGCGAGGCAGTCATCTTCCATTACTGATTCTTCCGACACAGAATTCCACGTGATTAACCTCAGTGAGAACCCTATTCTGTTTCCGTTTGACAAGATGGACGTCGAGTGCACGCTTTGCGCAGCGAAATATTCCACCAACCAGAATGATGATGACTAACTTTAATTCTACATGTTTTTCGAGTGGATTCACTGGATGTGTGATGCAGCCAGCAAAGAACATCTCACAAGATACATTTGTATGGTTTGTCTTGATGATTAGATAAATGGTTTATTTCTGTTTTCCTTTATTTATGGTACTGCATACTTGCCGGCCGTATGCCCGAGCGGTGAAGGTGGCAGCCTACCGCTCTGAGGGATCCGGGATCGAATCCGGACGGNGCTTTCACCAAGGCCTTCCTCAGGCTTTCTCACGAAACAGAATTCCAAACTGGAATGTTAGAATGATAATATTTGAAAAATCAATTTTTAAAACTTCAAATACCTCACAATGTAAGCCAAATTCATACAGAGATAGATTAAAAATCATAAATGTATGACCATATCACACATACATTTTTAAGATGTACTGGTACATAGTACAGTATCTGAGATGAATTAATATAGGTTAACTTGACCTGAAATTTGTCAACTTTGAAAAGGTGATAGATCTATTTTAAAGTAGTAAAAAGAATGACAGTTATAACTTTCTTTTTAAAATAGTAATTGGTGAATAAACTGTCTTAGAAGTGTTTTGCTAATGGTGTTACCTAAAATAATTTTTCTTTAATGAAAAGATTTTTCATTAAAGAAAAGTTTTTCACCCCATTGCTACTGATTATAAAAGAAATTGTTACTTTTTAATATAAAACATAGGAAAAAAGATCAATGCTAATTAATTACATGAAATGATGCATTTTTCTCACAGAACTAATTTTTTTTTAAATATACTAAATATATCAGTTTTTGTACTTTGACAATTCCTTTTTGATAAGGGAAATATTAGANTATTTCTGTTTTCCTTTATTTATGGTACTGCATACTTGCCGGCCGTATGCCCGAGCGGTGAAGGTGGCAGCCTACCGCTCTGAGGGATCCGGGATCGAATCCGGACGGGTCGAAAAATTCCTAAGAATTTTCCACGGAATCCGGACGGGTCGAAAAATTCCTAAGAATTTTTCGACCCGTCCGGATTCCGTGGAAAATTCTTAGGAATTTTTCACGGGGAATGGTCCGGATATGTCGGGCCCCGCCCCTCACCACCAGGCCGCCCCAATCTGGGCCTGGCCACAATGCTGAAAGAGGCCCTCTTAGTGTTTACAGGGCGAGAAAAGTTTAAAAAAGTATTGCATACCATGACGTGCGAAAATAACATTTTTTTTTATGCTTGGAAAGTCTCAAGACGTTGTTGTGATTCCTTTTATTATTGTTTACAACACTGGCAAGAAACAATTTTCTTTACACAAGGTTTTGTTAACTTTTCTAGTTCGATATATTTCGATTTGTTAGACTTGTATTGATCGTGTTTCGCATTTTTTTTTTNCTATTTTAAAGTAGTAAAAAGAATGACAGTTATAACTTTCTTTTTAAAATAGTAATTGGTGAATAAACTGTCTTAGAAGTGTTTTGCTAATGGTGTTACCTAAAATAATTTTTCTTTAATGAAAAGATTTTTCATTAAAGAAAAGTTTTTCACCCCATTGCTACTGATTATAAAAGAAATTGTTACTTTTTAATATAAAACATAGGAAAAAAGATCAATGCTAATTAATTACATGAAATGATGCATTTTTCTCACAGAACTAATTTTTTTTAAAATATACTAAATATATCAGTTTTTGTACTTTGACAATTCCTTTTTGATAAGGGAAATATTAGAAATTCAAAATTAGAGATTTTGAAATGAATATATCAATAGAAGAAACCATGAGAATCAGTAGAATGAGAAACATTTATTATAGTAGAATTAACTTGTTAATTATTAGATTTAAATATTCCATTTGACTCAATAATGATCCTCTCTTATAACTTATCAGTTTTTGATAAAAGATTGTGCTTGATTTTAAATACATAAAGCATCGGACATTTACTTGAAATTTTTTATTATTTTAAATCTCGCTATTTTTAATATTAAAAAAATAATAATAATAAATAAATATATCTATCATATATCTATATTTGGACGTTAGTTTTATAGAGTTGTCTGAATTCACATTATGTCATTTTTGAAAAAAGATATTTGTATATTGCTGTGTAAAGTGTCTGTTACATAGAAATCCATCAAGCATGTATGCAGCCTACCTGTTATTGATCCTAGTACAGTTAAGATTTTATTATAAAAGGACACACACACGTGCACATAAATGCAATTATTTGTAATTTAATTTTGTTTTCCATTTTACACGAACACATTTGTAATTGTTATGTTTTAGGATTAATTTTGATGTATCTTTCATCGTGACATCCTATTCAAAAATTGTTTAAATATTAAAAATTCTGTTTATTTTTATAATGCATGAGTAATGTTTCAGTAATTCACTAAAAATATATAAACAATTAAGATCAACATATTTAATTTTATATTATTTACAGTTCTATAAGACAAAGTGAACTAAACAGTCCTTGATTGCCCTTATATCCCAGGAAAAATAGACCAAGACTAATAAAAGAATATTTTATATTCCAGAAAATCATAAGTTTTTTAAACTGAAGTAAAACTATCACTTTCTTCACAGAATAAATAATAATAATAATAAAGAAAACTGAAATGGGCCAAATTATTTCAATAAACCTGTTTTCTTTGGTTTAGTTTGTACTTTCATTCTTTTTTGAAGTCAAAATTTTAAAGATTTTATTATTATTCGATTAAATTTTACATTAAGTATGTTTAAAATGATTTAGTTTAAATTAGTTTTAGATAAAATGATAGTTTTACATCACTTTCAGCTTGGAAATAGTGTTATCCTTCACTTAATGGAATCACCAAGCTTCAATATCAACAGCTCTTCAATTTGTTGAATACTACTTAAATGATTTTTTAAAATTTACACTTGACATAATTATATGAATAAGCACAGAGAGATACTGTCAAAGATAATGAAATTTTTGGTGATAAACAATTTGAAAATACAATGATATTAAACAAAAAATAGTATGTTCTTAATGTCCAACATATACATATATAAATTCTTATAATGAAGATATTGGTGTCTTTTCTTCATATAGATTTTGTTTCAATTTTTCTATAAAACTAATAAAACTTATTTGTACACACAAATATATATTTTTTTAATCAAATCTTCTCGTCTGAAGAATGTCTTCGGCAATACACAATGGCTTTAAGCTTTCCATATATGGCGACAGAGAAATACATCAATGTCCCTGCAGTTGCAATTTCCAACAAACATTCTAATTGCACCTGTCTTTCCAAATAATTTTGGCTTAATGATTTGTCATTGAATGTTGTTCCCCTTGTCATTCATTTGAATTACTGTCCTCCATGATATGTTATTTTGGTCCTTTCTTTGTATGGTGGCTAAACAGTCACAAAATGCATTATTAAAAGTAAAGAATTAATTAGGCCATTCTCTCAATTCTAAACAATCTGTTCTTTTTTCCTGAATAAAAACAATATATCTTGTTTTAACTTGTACTTCTAAAGATTATGTAAAGTTTTTATACAATACAATTATTGTATTTGGAATGCAATGAAATAATATTTGCTTTATGAATTAAACAAATGGAACAATGGAAATAGAATTACAGAGAAACATCGTAACGACATGCATAATTTCATCCACAGAAACTGGAATCTATATTGTGCTACATTACACTAGAAATTTTAACATAAATATACTGTATAGGCCACAACCTTTTTTGCTGAAAGTTCTTTAATTATATATTTAGGTTACAAAATTGTCATCTAAACTGTGACAGCCTGTGTATGCTCCAGAGCTATTGACAACACCTCTATTAGATGTCAATGATGGAATGTGAGGTATGTAAAGGAGGGGATGTATGCCATAGCTTCAGGCACATTGAATCTCTTTCAAATGTCTGTTTTCCAATTTTCCATTTCTATGATCCATCTCTGTAAACAAATAAATGAAATAAAATTCAATTGTAATTTTTATGCATATTTTTCTAATAGTAATATAAATTCCCTAATGTAAAATTCTAATACAAAAGAATTACCTGGTAAGTCTATCTACTGCATCTTGCAATCGATGGGTACTCAATCCGGGAAGTAAACGATGTAAAATTTCTTTTACAAAGATATCACTAATACCAGGACAAGATCTTTCTGCAAGATCAAATGCCGTGTGGAGTTCTTCAATAGCATCCAGTCTTGAATTGATATCAGGTTTTAAATTATTTTTATGTTTTCGCTGGAGCTATTAAATATAAATAGCTAAAGTTAACAAAAAGCTTTGTATCTAATAGTTAAATATATAATTAGTAACAAACAATAAGAAATATATTGTAGAGATGCCACGAATATTCGGCTACTATTCGGTATTCGGCCTTTTCGGCTACTTTTTTTAATATTCGGTATTTGGCCGAATAGTATGCAACATTCGGCCGAATACCGAATACCAAATCATGAAAAAAAAACGCACATATTACTAAAAAATGTATTTATTTTAATCATAAATTATTACATTTAATACTTAAAATCTATCAGTGATAAGTTGTAATGAATGAAAACAATTTTTTCAGCATTTGTTGATAGCAAACGATTGCGCTTTTCCTCATAAACTATACCTGCTTCTGAAAATAGCCTCTCACTATATACACTACTGCCGGGAGACAATAGATAAATCTTAGCGAATTCTGTCAGGCTTGGATACTGTTTTGCGTTTGCTGACCACCACTTGTAAAGGTCTGCCGTCAGATCTAGGCGAACAGTTTTCATATAAAGTGATACAGTGATATTTTTTNCATCGAGAATAATTAAAAATAATTATTTGAATATTAAATCATTTCTTTAAACTTTTAAGAAAAAAAATAAATAATTTTCGCAAATATAAACTACAAGTTTTAAATGATTAATATTCACAAACAACTACATGTGGGTGACGGAGATGACGTATTAACGCACAGGAATGTTACCGTACAACTCCCGCACCCAATGCACACGATCATCTAAGTAAGTGCCACTGACATCCTTCGAGTTTTTATATTGAGACAAATTACACGATTCAAGAAACTCATAATAAAACGACTATTTTTGGAGACAATCAGATCGGCAGACACGGGACAGGAAAATAGGGAAGTTGAGCCGGTCCAACTGGAAGATCAACTCTTATTTTCGTTTCATTTTAACTTGTCTTTTACGATATGGTACAACAGAAATTAGACTATTAGTTAAGAGACATGGCTATAAACAATATAAAATTCCAAAATTTTCTTTCTAAAAACCGGATACCGCTAATACACAGAAATAAACCTGTAAGAACATTCAATTGACAGACAACTTCCGCATGTCCGAAAAACGTGGTCAAGGTGTACCACTTACTAAGTAAAGAAGGCCAGTTAGCATCGACTTGAATTCAACTCAAGGTTTTTCCAATATAAAAAGTTCGTCTACCTCAACTATATCCCTTAATTATTTTGTCTTCTTATCCTCCGGATAAACACGAGCATACAAAGAAACAAATGGCCATTATAATGCAAGAAAATTCCATATTTATTTACATTCTCTCTCAAGAGCATTCCGACGAATAACATTCGACTTAGTAATACTTATTTTTCTGCTACGACGTACACGAGAATGCAAGTGGACCGAACACTAGAAAATGGAATAAGCACCTGTTCACTCACCAAATTATGCAAAGGCCTGGCCGGCTGAGCCCACGTTTTCCATTTCAGAAATTGAGGATGGTGATAGTTCCAAGCGGGCCCGATAACATGCAAACTTCTACTCGGTATTTTTTCGGCTGTTTGATTTCTTGTTCATCGCATTGTCCTCGGGAGAGCGCTATATTTAGGATAGGCAGAATGTGGTACAGTTACCCTTACTTTCCAATTAAATTCTGTTTGAAAAATCAATAGAAACATTAAAACAAAGCAGTTATCGAGCTGAGTGTGAAAAGTGTTCAAACATGACAAAAAAGATGAAACAAATAAATGATTGTGAGAAGCTAAAAATTGAAAAAACTAATCTAAAATTTTATTTAAAAATATCTGTAGACTAAATTAAGGAAACATTTGATTTTAATGAGGAATCTATGAGGCAAAATTGAAAATAGATAACACTGCCATCAAGCTATCATATTTTTGATGATTTGGTGGAAATAGCAGAATTGGACAAACTATTTGAAGTAATTTTTTTATGAGTGTCCTGTCCTGGATATGTCGGACCCCGTTCTTCACTACCGGTAGCTCTCATTGTTGGCCTGGCAGAGTCCACAATAAATATAGAAAATGGGCTTTTAATGCACACAGAGCGGAAAGAGCCAAAGTGAAAATATGTTGGCCTATATATACTGATAGATAGTTTGTTTATTTTTATTTCAAGATATCTGATGTATAAAATCATATATTTTGAATGTATTAGATTCATTCAAGATTGTTGACCATGGATTTTCAATGATGAATAACAAATGAACCAGTGGAAAAGTAGATGTTCTGTATAACTTAAAAAAAATTAACAATAAATTTAAATTCATAAAAACGCTCTTTGAAAGCTTTCATAGTTTAAACTTAGTAAGCCACAATACAGAATAAACTTTTCTCGTTTCTTCTATAGAATTGCTACTTTTGTTCATCAAGAAACTATTTATATCAAGATTTAAAATAAATTTAAAGCCATTTATAAGAATGTATTGTATAACCGATACATTTCTGTTTACATTGTAATTTGTTTTTAGTATTTCTTCTGTTATTTTTGTTACTTAGGAAGAAGCTATCACGGCCTTTTGGCATTAACAATACATTTTAAAAATAAAATTATGTTTACTTTATATATTTTAAAATGTGGAAATACTATGCGATTGCCACTCATGGAAAGCACTAACCACGTTTACGAGTAAAGTAGGAACGTTAAAAAGAGGGATTGATTGTTCACGCTATTCAAATAACTGTATTTTGCCAAGATATTTAGCCGAAATTTGCTTGTTTATGAAATTATGGACAATACTTTTGAAGACTGCTCTAAAGATATGAATAAATATAATGTAAGGTTTTTTTGTAGTTATCGGTTGTATATATGCCTAGAAAATTACGATATTCAATTAAGCAAACATGTGGTGCATACCTTAATTTTCTAAAGCCACTTGTTCTCACTAGTGCTCCGATTTTGGCTATATTTTTTATTTATTTTAAGCTTCCCACAACGAATTTTGCATTCGTGTCGGGAAGCTTAAAATTGTTGTTTGACAACTGACACATCAATGACATTTATAATAAATAATCTTTACTTTTCTTAACGAGTTATCAATGGCTACCTGATACAAGTGAATCTTGTCAGGCAGCCAATGTAGTAATCCTAAGTTTGGTAGTCTTCCATTTACTAAAATTACGATAGAGAATCGGATTACAAATTTATCTCCTAGGTAATCTACGTATATTTTAATTAATGCTTAGACGGTAGACGGTTAGCCACAAATGGATATAGCAATTTTCACTTTTTACCTATTCTGGCAATGAATGGTTTATCAATTTTCATTTGTGGTCTCTTACTAATCTAAAGACTTGGTTGCTACAACAGTACCTACCTACTTGCCTGATTTAGTAAAGAGTAAGTAAATACCTACCTAATATTTACTAAACCAGCTTCTCAAATCTCCAAAAATAAACGGCATTTATTTATCTGTTAAATAACTACGAGCATGATAAATTATAAAGAATTCATGTAAAACTAATCCTATATCTAAATATATAAAATTACTTGTCCTGACTGACTTAGTCACTGATTCATCATCGCCCAGAGCAAACCGCTGAACCNCCGCCGAATATTCGGCGCTTCGGCCAAGAGCGTAGCCGAATGTTCGGTATTCGGCAAAATCACTATTCGTGGCATCACTAATATATTGTAACAGAATTTCATAAGTATCAAAATCTAAATATGAATTAAAATAACATTTTTAGAAAAACATTACATAAATTATGAAACAACAAGATACTTCTTTCACTATTGTGAATTCACTGCTAGGAACTAAATTACATAAATATGAAGTGGTTGTAATTGCTTTTAAAAGAGCCCAATAAGAATTTATTAGAAAGTCTACTTTTGTTTTTTAATTCACAAACTACAAATGCAATAATGTAAAGTGTATGAATTCAAAATTTACACCTTTCCATAAAAATTACAGATGTACAAGGTAGTCATTTTTAATCCATTGAGATTTAAGTTTTTTTTGCATATATTTTTGAGTTAGGAAAAATTTTTTTTAACTGTTAGATTTTAAGAAGCCCATAAGATTACACTACAATTGTTGAAAACTGAGTAAACTTCATTTCCATATATGGGAGATCCCAGTTTTTATTGCATATTATGATTCTACATAAAAATAAAACTTTTATCTGAAACATCTTTTCTGAAAGATGCACTTATTACAAGTTACAAACATTTTAAGTTTTATGTATCCACCATAATCTGCATGCACACATCTGTGGATAACTGTCAAGTTCAATGAAAAAGAGACAAAAATGCTAAAAAAAATTAATTAGGAAACTATTGTTTGATGGAATCATTCTTTTTTCCCCTTCAAATAATGAACTGATACAAAAGTTCATGCCAGTGTATTAAACCCATCAAGCTTGTGAGAGAACACTATCTTGATTCCACTAAATAATAATAGTTTCCTAATAATTTTTTTTACAAGTATTTTTCTTTATCTTTTTTTCAGTGAATGCCACAGATATCCATAGATGTGTGCATGTGCAGTGATGGCAATATAAACTTCAAAAGATCAACTTCTAAAAAGTGTATCTTTCAGAGTAAAAAAAAATTCTAACAAAAAGTAATTGTTTATGCAGAATCATAATATGCATTTAAAAAATTGGGTTACCATTTATTAAAATGAAATTTACTCAGTTTTCACCAATTATAGCATAATCTCGTGGGCCCATAAAGTCTATATTTGTCAAAGTCTATATTTGTCAAAGTTTGTTGTAATTTGCATATTTTCAAATTATTCAACTGACTGATTAAAATGGACCACCTTGTATATGTATAAATGCTAGTGTTGCAACGAATAGTATATTCGGGCTCAGGCCGAATACTTGGCCAGGAGCGTGGCCGAATAGCCGAATATTCGGCTTGATGAACTTACTTGTTTGTTCCTTACAAAAATTGAGACAAATATCCAGTATTTAGTAGTGCTGCAACGAATAGCATATTCAGCCAGGAGTGTGACCGAATAGCCGAATATTCGGGCAAACTATTTGA